GGTTTAAAGAAAGGCTACCGACCTACCTTCAAGTGTAGGCCATGTAGTTTTAATACTTCTCACACACTTAAAGGTATGTGGGCAGATTTCCAGCACACTTATTCACAACTGCTCCTATCTTACAGAAAAAGGTTCTGCAAATTTCAGTCTCCTCATCCGAGACTTGTGCAGTTTTGATCTGGGAAGTAAGAGGCATCCAACAGCAGAAAACGGCTGCAATTTTGTCTGGCAGTCATATGATCCTTCATCTATTTAATGGCCCTTGGCACACCTCTGAAGCAATAAATACTTTACTACTGAAAACAGCACACATGAACGTGTTTGGCAACTGTAATTTCTAATTTCTTAAGATTGCACTTTTAATACCGAAAAGCCTTAACAGAGGAAATTCATGATAGGAACAACTATAGATCATATTATAGAATCATAGAATGGTTCGGGTTGGAAAGGACCTTGTCTAGTTCCAACCCTACTTAAACAACACTGTGGAATTCTCACACTTGTGAAGAATGATCACTGTGAATGCTCTGAGAATTTATGGCCAGATAATAAAGATGATGCACTGAGCAAGTGTCCTCATTTAATGCGACATGAATGCTCCAATTGCAGCTGATAAGGATAGCAAGATAGCTTCCTTTCCAAAGCACCATCCCTTGTGATACTGACGCATCCTCAATATCCATTTAGCATCTTCAAAGGCCATAAAATAAGAACAATAGTCCATTTCCAGCTAAACATAACCACACTGCTTTGGGAAACATTCAAAAAACAACCCCAAGTGATAGGTGGCTCCTGCCAGACCAGCTCTTACTGCAGACTTTGGTCTGGTTGCCAACTCAACCAGATTCACTTCCTTTCTGGAAGAAACCGTGACTGTACTTGCAGTAGGGGTCTCATAGTCAGTGTCTGCTCACAGGAAACGTCTCAACACGGTATGCAATCAAGAAGAAAATACGTGAGCGAACACTCATAGACGGCAAGCAGCAGCAGGCATGTATTAGTACACCAAGACTGTACATAAAGTACCTTCGGATCCTTGTTTCAAAGGCATTGCTTCCGAGAGCAAAACCTTCATGTACGTAAGGGATCACCTCACTTTTGCAAGGGATTGTTTTGCAAGAATAAGTGTCACTCTTGTTAACAGCAATAATGAACAAAGGATTCAACTGAGAAAATATCAGACTTACCTTTTGTAAACAATTGTAGAGTTTCAGATGAAATCGTAGCTGAGGTAGTTTGCTTATCAGTTATTGGAGATACCGTTTCCTTCCTTTTCAGTAAGTCCACGAACCAACAATCCAGTGATTCACCTGCTGAAGTTCTGTTTTCCTTCTGAACTGCAATCTACCTGCACGTGCACGGGCCCAAGCAGCAGCAAGAAGAATTCTGACCTCTGACTCCTGTATGCTTGTCTCCGAGCTGTTTCTCCTCTAATGACTATGATTTTTGCCTTGAGCTTTCCAGTTTGTTACATCTTGCAGCAACTCAAACTTAGCAGTAGGATACATCTAAAATACACTGGCATGTATGAAAATAATGTCCATAAACACGAGCATCATGGATGAAATTATTCTAGATGAAATCTCATACTCAACTGGGAGTAAAAAGGCCGAGTATTTTCTCAAATAGAACACTCCCTTTCTTCCTTTCCTTTTTCAGTCTCAGTGTTATGACCTGAAACATGCAGGGAGTGCTTCCTCTAGCAGTAACGTATCAAATGAGCTAGATCTCCAGCAGAATTGGCCTTGCTAAACTCGGAATGTATCCTGTGCAACATTTTCTAAGGACTTTTGGCCATTAGCATTAACCTCACAGTTGTGTGGATTCAGGAAGCCTACCTTTCTAAAAAGCCACCGTTAAGTCTCTGCTTAATATGAAACTCCATCTTATTTCTGCAGGTGGTACCAGAAATCGGACTTCTGGATGGGTTCAGGTTTCTTCCTCCCTAAAGACAAGACACCTAGTGGCACATTTGCCATGACTTGTAAAGAAAAACAGAATGTAACCAAACACATTGCTCTCTGTCCTGACCACAGCCACAGTACAGGGAACTGCTGTGTGAACCGAGACGAACTTCCAGCAGTCAGATGGAGCAGATGACCTCCTTTCTTCCAGCCCAAGTCACTCCATGATCTTACAGACTTAAGAGGTTACAGAACACCACTGGAGGAAGCGATGACCACCTGTGCCACAGCTTGTGGCTCTTCCTTCAGCTACAGGGAGGAACTTCCTTTGCTGCGCAGCAGTTTCATTCTCCACCTGTGCAAACTGCAGTCTGGAGAGGAGCAGGCATCTGCCCTGAGGCAGGACACACACATTGTTTCTTGGCCTGTTCTTGTGAACTGTGTTTATTTTAACTTGCATCTTTCCTTGTGCGTCTGTGTCTTGTATGAATCGTCTATCGAGAGAACTGGTTTTATCTCACAAAAACAGATATCCTGCTTGACCTAAAATTCCTACTGATCAATTACACAAGCACCAATAAATGCCTACATGCAGAATTGCTAAGTGTCATTTAATTCAGACTTGTTTGCACACGAAAAAATTTAACTTCAGCCACTGTTCCTCCTGGTGAGGCAAATCCCTGTGTGCCACTGCAGACAGAATGAGAAAATAACACAAAGTTCTTTCATAGCAGTGCATTATGAAACATGAGTTCAGGTTTCTGGTCGCAGAGCAGCACAGGCAGGCAGTGCTGCACTGATCCGGGTCCAGCTGAGAGCAGTTCAGCACATGCCATTAAAAGGTTGTCATCAAACTCTCCAGTGATGGAATCTGATTTTCTCATCATCCAATTATTTCTGGGACATTCTGAAGAAAAACTTTGTTATACCTAATTCCTGTTAAACTCCAAAGGAGCCTTATTTACCACAGCATGAGAACCTGGAATGAAATTACTACAGCTCAAATTTTAATTGTCTGAGTACACATCCAGAAATGAAGGAATTCAATACATAAAGAGACATTTCACTTTTTAACCCCCACTTTAATAACCTGCAGAAGGATTCTCAAGGGTAGGCAAGAAGGAATGAGATGTGCAGCCAGTGCGCTTCTAAGTCATCACTGATCTTACTTCAGATCTATGAGAATTACACCATGGAAAAATGTGAGAACCACTGACTTAATGTGCTTTAGTGCACTAGTTCTTCAGACTTGTATTTTAAATGATTAAATGGATGAATTCTTTAAAATAAGAACAGAATGTTCTCAAAAGGAAAACTAGAACCACTAAACCCAAAACTTAGAGGAGCTGAACTATCTTGGTAACTCAGAACTAAGTGCTATGCTGGACAAACTGCAAAGAATTGCTCTACGCCTACTCACACGCTTCAGTTTTTTGGATTGACAAATACATTTAAGCTCAGTGAAAACAGCAGAGCAACTTCAAAGCAGGAAAACAGCTCTTAAAAATCATCTGACAAGAAGTGACACTTCATCTGCATCCACAGTATTTAATTTGTTTGAATAATATAGTTACAGATAAACAGGTTCACTCCATATACAATTACCGATACCTTTTTTTAATACAGTTCATATTCCAGTACATCAACACTATTTTATTTACAAAGTATTTATGTACATTAACATCTCTCTAAAGTCAGTGCATTGTCAATAGGTTTTATACAATAATTTACAAAGTGAATGTAGTTAATAGTTAACTTAATAAATTTACTACTAATTCATGAATTAATTTAATTTAAAAAATTAATTACAACCAATGTAACAAACACAGAAGATCAAATAACATTAGTAGATTGTGCTACCTGCTTAAATAAAACATTTTAAAGTAAATCAGTCGAAAATCTTTCACTTTTCATGGAGTTTGCAGAGGGAGGAGTAGACAAATGGGTACTGAAAAGGCTTCTAACCTAGAAATTCACAAGTCATGTTTGCTTGTCTTCAATCTCAATGTTTAGACCACTTTAAAGATATAAGACCATACAGGATAGGGAGTAACACTTTACAAGAAAGACTATACTCATTTTGGAACTGATCTGCTGTCCTTAAAGAGGCACGACCTCCAAGGAAGGCAGGGAGGTGCTCGCCTGACTGAAGACAGCAAGATCAGTTGGTATCATCTCTTAAATGGATAAACCTCAGATCTTTCTGGAAATTATAAACTTACTGGTAGGTTTGGCATTCCT